GCAGCCTCATCTCCCCACCCAGATCAGATTTGCCTGGAGTCAGAAAGGAAAAAGAGGAAAAAGAAAGCAGAAGATCCCCATCAACCCTCACTGCCACCAAAAACATGTACAGTCCTTACAACTAGAGAATTCCACAGTCCTCACAAGCAATAAACCCAGTTTGAAGGGCTGCTAGGAATTCTCATGCTGAACTGCCCCAAATTTGAAGCACAAAGTGTGCACTCCTCACCCCATCCACCCACTGTGAACCAAGCTGCTACAGCATAGCACCATCTTGAGACCAGAGCCATCTCTAGAATGTGCCCTGACTTAGGGTTCAGTAGCCACTGAAGCTTTTCAGCACTTGGCTCCATCTTCATTATACCAAGCCCACACATAGTGGCTGAACCACAGTGTGAGCTGCACAAATCTTGGGCCCAACATTGGCTGCAATTCTGGTCCTGCACAGCAAAGAAAGCAACCCCTGTTGCTGCACTTCCAGTCATAGGAACAATCAGCAAGTCCTACCCAGGGTGAACTCACTTACCTTGAACCAGCCAAATCACTGTATACCCTCTGCTGAGCCTCTGCACAACTGAACACCCATGCTCAGAACCTGAGGAAAAACTCCGAAGTTCCCTTTCCTTCCACAGACATGCTCTTGACCTTCCCAATGGCCCTGCATCCCCAGTAAGTTCCTGAGTAACACCCCCATGAGTTACCCCTGACTGACATGCCCCAGACTGACATTCCCCATGACTGTGCTCAAGGTCTAAGAAATATCCCCATTGGCAATCCTTAGCAGACCTACATCCAGGTCATGTTACCTCATCCTGGGCCTGAGAAACATCCCTGTGGGCTATCCCTGGCAAACATGCCCCCAAACCAACTGAGCACCTGTGCAACTATTTTCCAAGCATGAGAAACAGTCCCTTGGGTTGCACCCAACAGACATGACTTCATGTCAGCTAAGCAGCCATGCACCTACATACCAGGCCTTTGAGACAGCTCCACACTGTCCCCAGCAGACACAACTACATGTTCACATTCCTGGTTACAGTAACAGACCCGTGACCCCAATCCCTATAAGCCACAACCTAAGTTGGCCAACCCACTGTGTGCACAAATGCATCCCTGACCTGAGAAACAGCCCAGCAAGCCCACCACTAGCAAAGGCACACCATGATTGCTACAGACTCCCTCAGCCTAGGTCACTGAGAAACTCACAACTGCCACTAGTATGGATTACAATTAAAGCAACTACTTGGAACCTACACTAATGTATCCACCTAGAACCAAGGTCAATGCACCACACCAAACCTACACCCTAAGACTCATTCATGTAAATAAGTCTTTTCTTATCAAACCTACTACATAAAATTGAAAGATGTGATTTTTCCATCAGATATGAAGAATTCAAAATAATAATCTTAAGAAAGTGCAGTGAGATACAAGGGAATACAGATATACAAGTCAACAAAATCAGGGAAACAATTTATGATTTTAATGAGAAATTTAATGAAGAGATTAAATATAATTTTAAAAACAAACAGAAATTCTACAGCTGAAGAAATTAATGAATAAAATAAAAATATATAAAAGAGAGCTTCAACAATAGACTGGACTAAGCAGAGAAAAGAGTTTCTGAGCTCAAAAACAAGTCTTTTATTTCAAAAATTTAAAAATTATGAGTAAAGCCTACAGGATTTATGATGAACAAATATTTGTATTATGGGCTTTCCAAAAGGAGAAGAGAAGGGACATGTTAATTAAACATTTAATTAAACATATTTAATTAAATCATAGCAGAAAACTTCCCAAGTCTTGTGAGAGAGATGAACATCCAGGTCAAGGAAGCTCAAAGAATCACAAAAAGAGTTCACCCAAACAAGTTCCCTCCAATGCAGATTATAGTTAAATTGCCAAAAAATCAAAGACAAAGAAATAATTTTAAAAGCAGCAAGAGAAAAGCAACAAGAAATATATAAGGGAATCCCTATTAAAATAACAGCATGAGCCGGGCTCGGTGGCTCAGCCTGTAATCCCGCGCCTTTGGGAGGCTGAGGTGAGTGGATTGCCTGAGCCCGCGGGTTCGAGACCCGCCTGGGCAGCGAGACCTCATCTCTACAATAAATCAAAAAATCAGCTGGGCGTGCTAGCGTGCGCCTGTAATTCCGGCTACTTGGAAGGCTGAGGCGGAAGGATCGCCGGAGCCCAGCAGGCGAGGCTGCAGTGGCCGGGAGCGGCCACTTCACTCCAGTCTGGGTGACAGAGTGAGACTCCAACTCAAAAAAAAAAAAAAAATTCAACCATTAATTAATTAATTCAAAAAACAAGTAGAGAGTATTTTTCTGTGCTACAGAGAGAGAGATGACATAATTCCTATCCTGAAAGGAGGTGACACTGGGAGGAGGAACTTCTTCCTGAGTTGATTACAATACCATAAGGTTTATCTGTTATCATGGTGGATACAGACAGAGAGGGAGGACAACACAGGGGATGAGGGCTGGTGTGAGGGAGGGTCTTTAGGAGCCTTGCTCTTCTGCCTGGCAGACATGTCTTGAAGAGGCCGATTCTCTATTCCCAGAGCATTCGGAGTAACTTTGTTCCTCTTGTGGGAACGGGTGGGAAAGGCAAAGTCTCAAAACAAAGGCCATCTTGTGGTACCAATAGGAGAAGTGAAGAGAAAGAGAAAAGGCCTAAAAAGGAAGTGGTTCCTGGAAACTGTGTGTCAACTAAACAGAAGAGCGAATTCAGCCACGACCCAGATCCATGCTGTGGACAAGTTCAGCATGTTCTCTATATAGAAATGAGAAAAATAAATTCCTGACATTCTTGAAGTGAACTTTTCTGTTAATGCCAAAATTAGTTCAAGGAAACCTTAGTAAAAACTGGAGAGGCAGTTAACTTGCAGTGAAAAAAAACATACAGGGAACAGGAAACATGATTAGGAGGAAATGTGATTTGGGAAAAAAACCAGTTATCTTTTCCATGTTCACAAATCTGGATTTTCATGAGAACCTCAGGTTATCTGCCACTTGAGGTCAAAGGTCTGGGGTAGTTTCTGTAGCTGAGTTACAGTGTCTCTAAGGACTTATGTTAGGGAACAAGGTGGGTGGAGAGGCAGAGGGCAGGTCACACTGTATCTTCTGTGGCAGGTCAAGGAACCATCTGAGTGACAGTGAGCACAGGAATTTAAGTTGGAGCGCCACAAGGTTATATCTGAGAAACAAACACCACTTTGCACAAGGAGGAAGAGACTGAACTCAGGGAGACTGGGTAGAAGTTTCTTTTTTTTTGGAGTCTCACTCTGTTGCCCACACTGGAGGGCAGTGGCACACTCATGGCCATCACAGCCTCGACTTACTGGGTTCAGGTGATCCTTCTGCCTCAGTCTTCCAAGTTCAGCTAACTTTTTGATTTATTGTAGAGACGAGGTCTAAGTTGTCCAGGCTGGTGTTGAACCCCTGGACTCAGGCAATCCTCTAGCCTCAGCCTCCCAAAGTGCTGGGATTACAGGCTTGAGCTACCAGCATCCCGCTGGATAGAAGCTTCTTGTAGTAACTTAGGCAAGGCATGGTGGCTGATATGGTGGGATGACATCTAGAGAAGTTTTGTACAAGAGAACTTTCTGCAAGGGTGAATGTTCTACATAGACATTGTTTTTTTTTTTTTTGAGTTGGAGTCTCACTCTGTCGCCCAGACTGGAGCGCAGTGGCCGCTCCCGGCCACCACAGCCTCGCCTGCTAGGCTCTGGCGATCCTTCTGCCTCAGCCTTCCAAGTAGCTGGAACTACAGGCGTGCACTACCACGCCCGGCTAATTTTTTAATTTATTGTAGAGATGAGGTCTCGCCTGCCCAGGCGGGTCTCGAACCCGTGGGCTTAGGCAATCCACTCACCTCAGCCTCTCAAAGGCACGGGATTACAGGCTGAGCCACCGAGCCCGACTTACGTAGACATTGTTAGGTAACCATTAGCCACATGTGGCTTCTGTGCACTTCAAATGTGGCTGCTATGACTGAAGAACTAAGTTATTTTTTATTTTTTATTTTTTCTGTGTTGGAGTCTCACTCCATCGCTCAGGCTGGAGTGCAGTGGCACGCTCATGGCCACCACAGCCTTGACCTCCGGGTTCAGGTGATCCTTCTGCCTAGCCTTCAAAGTAGCCAGAACTACAGGCACACGCTACCAGGCCCGGCTAATTTTTTGATTTATTGTAGAGACAAGGTCTCACCATGTTGCCCAGGCCAGTCTTGAACCCGCAGGCTCAGGCAATCTTCTCACCTCGGCCTCCCAAAGGGTTGGGATTATAGGCTTGAGTCACTGTAACTGGCCACTTTTTTTTTTTTTTTT